AACATGGTAAATGGATAGACGAATATGAGGAATCTCCTTCACGGAAAACAAAGGAGGACAAACTACCGATGTACGCACTATATCACGAATATCACAGGCAAAGGTACCAGAAGATATTGACAATTCGGCAGTGCTTCATCATCATAACAAAAATCTCCTCAAAAAGCAGCTACCGGCAACTCCTAACATTGGAGGCCTGTATGTCAAAAAAACTTCTTAGAAGCGACTTTTCCCTTCTACACTTAATCACAGCTACAGCCATACTAATATTTTTGGGATGCCACGTTTTCGGAACTTACCACTGTAGAACAACTGGAGTGAACATTAACGAAATGAATTCGCACCAACCTTCGAATCTACCACATGCAAAACGCATTAGCGGAGGAGTCCACCTTTTTTCACTTGGTCACTTGGCTTATAAAACCTGTCCGGATGATTACTGTAAAATCTTGGAAACACCACAATCAACCAAAGTCGTAAATTTTCCTCCACAAATAATACTTCACGAACATCGCGTTCAGTGGAAAATAGTTAACAACCCATCACCTGACATTATTGCAAGCAATCGTCCACCACCACCGTTTCGCAGTCATCACAACTATGTCTTATGTTCAACACTAAATTTCAACCCGAAATACTATACTAAAGTACAGTATTCCAATACTCACAGCATATGCTACTCCTAAACAGTTATCCACATTATTCCTATACGACTCTAACTAATCAGGTCCACTATATTCCACTGCACGCATGGTATTCTGTTCTACTATTCTACAACACTGCCCTGTTTCCGCCACATAACCTTTCCACGACGAAAGAACAAAATCTATAGTGAAATTAATGAAGCTGGGCCGGAGTGTCGACAAGTCCACCAATAAATATTATCTAACAGAAAATAATGTTCCCTATTGTAACTTTATTCTTTGTGTTATGGTGCCGAGGGCCCTGCATTCATATCCCATCCTAAATGCAAACATTCACCTCTAGCGATGCTTAATGAAGGTCATTCTTCAGGGATTGACCAACGTCTAGAGCTTTATTCTCTACCTTTTTTATTTCTTTTCACGAGTATATGGTTTTATCAGTACTTTCCTTGTAATGCAAAATTTGTATTAATAGTGAGTTTCACAGAGATAGCCACAACTAGTTGCTTGAAAACCTGGCTTAAAAAGGTGCTCCACATTTTTTCATATAAAAACGACGAAAAACGGATGAGGGTTTTCTCTCATATTTCTTGATGAAGTCAACAAATTTGTGATGATACCTAATTCTAGAAAATCTAGTTTTTCACCTCACGCGCTGTGAACTGACATCAACACACATTGGCCCTACTAGCTTGCTCAAAAAAACGGTAAGGATACGCAGCTTCTCACTTTCACATTTTCAACATTCCAGTTATCCTATATGACTTCCTATTCACCGTTTGACGTCTTTAGAACGTTTTCAGCCTTTGGCTGTGGTGAAAAAAAGCGTCCACCATCCAAGTACATTGGTATGAGTGATTTTGTTTCTTTAAAAACTTATGTTTAGTCTGGCATGGGCACTATTATTATTATTACTATTATTATCATCATTATTACTATTGTTATTACCATTATTACTATTACTACTATGATTAGACGACCCTTCATCATACCTACTGTGTGGATCTTAGCAGCTCTTGCATTCAATTCGTTTTCCTCGCATTCATAGTCCACAAAGGTCTTCGAACATTTCGCATGTTGTTTCGGCTGCTTCTTCAGAATTTCGTCTATTTTGTCGATATCGATCTATTTTCTATCCATCGATAGAAGCTTCACAAATATCTCAGCATTATATAAGCTATATTTCGCAACATACCCTGCCATTAAAAACGAATAGGAAGTAAATAAAAAACTTGAGATTGTGATTATAACAATTGCCTCAGCTTAACCGGCTTCAGTGCCAATGTGGGCTCTCCAGATTAATCTCGTTGACGGCTGATTGCTGATGGCAAGCAATCGATAGGACTAGCTGAGAGACAGACGAAACGAAGGACCCGCATGGTGTGGTGAACGTAATAGTGAACGCGTTACTCCCTGGAAAGAACAATAGCGCGTTCGTTCCCCACCGCAGACACCTGCGGTCCCGAGTTTTGCAAATATCTCAGCATTTTATAAAAGTCATATTTGACCATTTTCTCATCGAGAATGAACAACGACAAGCTTAAGACACTGGGGACAGCGACGAAAGTCTTATAGTTCCGTAAAAGAGGATGCAGAAAGTGGTTCAAAGGATGAGGCCAGCACTGACCACGATGAGACAAGGGTAGAGTGTTCGTGGAACATTCGGCCTTACAACCACTGGGCAGTGTAACTATACTTTTCGATAACTCTAAATCTGGATTGCATCGAAAGCCCAGATCCTGTTTCTATTCAAAAGTTCTTCATGAGTGTTATTCATTACTAATTAAGAACGAAATGACCACGGAAAAGAGAAGGATCAGTCGTGGTAGCTGGCAAAACTTGGACAGATGAAGTCAAGTTTTGCCAGCTACCACGACGCGAGGTTTTTGCCTTAATATGCAAAAATGTTGGGCTGCGACGCTTGAAGAACTATTTGAGTTCCAGCCTTGATTATGAATTCATACAGGCCATTCTACTGGATCCTATTTCATGGAAAGAACAAGATTTGAAAAGGTCTCGTCAGTCCGGCCAAAGATGTAACTTTCGATAGACATGGTGGATTACACAGGATCCACTTGTCGAACTCCTCAATGAAAAATCAAAGGGAATACAGAATCGGTATAGACGCTTGTATTCAGTGCCCCATACAGTTTAGCGATAGAGTGGTATCCCACCAATAAATAACAGAGAAGTACAAATATGGAGTCAAGTTATTCAAAATGTGCACGATAGGCGGCTAAACATACAAAGCAGCGATTCGTGGGTAAGGTATCCAAAACTAGAAATGCAGTTGAATCGGCGGTACATGGATATTTTCGATAAAGAAAGCTATCTATGTATTGATCTTCCCAACGGTTTACCACCCCATCGTGACTAGGCTTTCTTGGGTGTCGCGCGGTAATGTACAGTGGCGCATTTCACCCATCCAGCATGGAATCCTAGGTTGAGAAGGAGTCCGGCGTCTCCATCAAGAAGCTCTACCAGGATCCACTACCGTCCTAGTACCAAACTAGTCGCATGGTGGCAAATTTCGCTCTGATCCTCAAGGGCGGTGACTGCCGGTCGTGGTGACGACCTGGAGCAGACTTTGGCCAGGTTGTCCTCGGGACTCCAGGGACCACAATGGCTTAACCAGCAAATCTCCGGAGAATGGAAATTGTGCTGGGGCCTGCACAACCAGCGAAGAGGGGTATCCAAGTAGGCATCTATGTACTAATAGTTGGTAAATGAGTTTTCATTGACTTGGGGCTTGTTCCAGATCCTCGGCTGCAGCGAGTATTCGGAAGAGATTACAAAAAGTAGGAAAACGTTATTTCTGGTTTCATTGAGGTGTTAATACTAAGGACTCAAAGCCAGCTAGCATTTATAACATGTTTCTAAGAAATGTATACTCTAAAACAATTGGTTATAGCGACTTCAATTTGTTTTTTCTACTACCTTATTACATAACCCGACATCACATCCGTTACAATGTGCTGATCCAAGCATTCTTGCATTCGCATCAATTGTGACCATCCATTAAAGTCTTCGAAGTTAGGTTTTCTGCGTGTCGGTTCGACTGCTGATTTGGGATTTTCGCTTTCTTTATGAATGTGGTTGAATGCTGGTCAAGTCGACTGTCCGTGGAATATCCCAAGCAAGTCTGGTACACCACTGTTCAGTGAATTTCACCACCACTGTGCAGTGTACACTTAATTTTCTACGTCAGGATATCTCGACAACCTCACCACCAGCAAGAATTTCGCCGAGGAACGAGAAAACCGGTACGAATAGGTTCGTTAATTATAAAAAAGCACAATGCTCCCGTCGATGATCAATCCCTAAGGGATACGCCATGCATTTGACTTCACTAAGGAACGTTTGGAGGTGACTGAAAGCATATCTAGCTTCTACAATGACTCGCGGTGGCCTAATGATGTATCGAACCAGTGTTGCTATCCTTGCCGACAAGTCTGGTATCAACTTGCGGAACCCGAGGGGATGACTCAGTGAACCCGGGGCGCGAGGACAGAGCCATGTGCATTGCAGGACTGCTCGGAACAGGGCGCAACACGCGGTACGAATAAAATCGTTAACTATAAGTTGTATGGAATAGTACATGCAATACATAATAATTCACAAGGTAACCATGAAAACACAAGATCCAGTACTCTGAATGCATGCTCACCTGTGCTTGAACCCCACTACCGAACGAATATTCTCGAAACTCTTCACGAAGGTAACCACCAAATCGATATAACACTGTGTGTGCCAAGATGATCAGAAATTCACTCACATCTTCACAAATTTCTGAAGAATAACCTGAGTTAAAAAACCAACTCATGGCAACCAAGTCAGCAGTACTTCAACTCAAAGCCATGACCTACAGAAAACTATCGCAAGCAATCGATAGTTCATACTACGACAAATGGCCAGAATCATAGCAAGAATATGTTCGAATACATGCGACACAGTACTTTAGTAAGAAAACGAAACAACTTCTATCCACCTTATTGGAACCCTTACCATTTCGTAACTTCCTCGGTTTGTTTCCGATGTCAAGACACTTTGGCATTGAACCCATATTGTAACTCTACTGCAAATCGTGTGTTCACAAATCATCAAATTGCACTGCCAAGAACTCTATAACATTAGCCTCAAGCATCCTTTCTATGTGCACTCGAATGGTATATATCATTTAATATCATATAAGGTCAAACTTGACAACATATAGTTAGGAAAAGTACGAGATACTGAGGACACGAGCACTGCGACATCTTGTCGCACGAACAAACTCAACAAAAGAAAAACTGAAGACGGCCAGTTTAACAGCACAAAATAACAAACACTGAAGATTAAATAGGTATCAGATCAGATCTAGAATGAGCTCATATTTACATCTGCCGAAAAGTCGGGCGCACCATTGTCTCTTTTAGAGGCCGGACCTCCAGACCTGTCGCCTGGACGTTTACCACGTCTGGAAAAATACTTGAAGTTAACTATTAAGACTATCGTTAGAAAAAGAGAACTAAGAAAAGTCAACATGCCCTGAAAATCCTCCTCGACCACCCCCTCGTCCACCACGAAATCCACCACCTCCGCCACGACCTCCAAAGCCACCTCCACCAAAGTGACCACCACCATAACCTCCTTGTGGACCGTATCCACATGCTTGAAAATCGCCATATCCGCCACCGTAACCACCTGGACCCATCCCATAGCCGCCACCATAGTCTCCGTAACCACCTCCCATACCGTATCCTCCACCATAACCGTAATCGTCGTAACCCCTAGAAATAAGCGAACGTGCTTTCAAAATACATGTGAAACCTTGTTCTCACGAGTTTTCCTTACATATTCGGATACATATTGTTAGCTCGTCCACGTCCACCACCAAATCCACCTGGGCCGCCACCATAACCCATGCCCATACCCATTCCGCGACCTCGTATTGGTTTCTTCTTTTTTTCTGTTTGAGGCTTGGCCAAGGAACAGTCTATCACGACTCCTTCTAACTCCTTGCCATTCCACTCTTCCAATGCCTAAATTCATAAGTGTAATCCAAACAAATGAAATCGCAACAATTTTCAGCAAACCTTCACACAGGGATCGCGTTCTTTGAAATGCACGAATGCATAGTCCTTAATCTTCTTGATGCGTTCTATTTCTCCAAATGTACCAAAGATCTCTTTCAATTTGTCCTCAGAGACACATTCTTTTAGATTCCGGACGTAAAGTACTTTCACCTAAACAGAAAAGGCGTCAAGATTTCCACAAATTCCATCCGATTTCATAGATCGTTACAACCTTGTTCATTGTTTCCTCATCCGGTTCATCTTGCTGTTCAGCCCAATCAACGACGAGTTCACTGTTAAACGGTCGGACCTGAAAACCTTCCAATGGAGCGATCACACTAGAAATAGCCTAACTATTGAACAAAAACACAAAGTAGGTAAACCTCCAATTTAGTTTACTGGTAATGATAGCCCTGAGCACTTAATGATGTTATTATAGGATTCAGATCTACCTTATGTTGCTGTATTTTTCTCTTAGCATCCGAAGCAGTCTTGTGATCAGCAAAATCGACAAAGCAGAAACCTCTGTTTTTGTGTCGTTCTGTCGCGTCAGGAATAGTGTACACAATGACGTCAGTTACACCCTCTGAAAACGAATGCACATAGCTTTTACCCGGATAAGAAGAGGGAAACATTACCTTCGTCTGCGTTTTGAGCACGATCTATAAAACGAAAGAACTCGAAAGTTTCCCCGAAATATCCTCGGCTTTTTTTTTTACCTGCGTGCTTTTTGAGCTCCTCAAGAATTTCGGCTTTAGTTTTCGACTTGGGGATGTTTCCCAGGAACAGACGTGTGTTTGCGACAGAGACGTTCACTTTCAGAGCTTTTCCAGGCAAAATTTCGTGTCCATCATACTAAAATCACAGCTTGTTCGTACTTTTTGCGCAATTTTCAGGATTTTTGGCGCTGCTTTGAACGCATCTTTTCAAAAGTTGAGGAAAGAAAATTGGAGTCACGTGAGTCGAGAGAACGAGAGGTACAGTCGTAAAACAGTTGCTATGGCTATGAAAAGGACACCGGAATGACAAAAATACATAGATGAAAACGCAACAAAATGAGTCACAACGTCGGCACAACGAACAAGAGCGCCCCCCTTGACGCTAGTGAAACGATGTGGAAAGAATGTAACCTTTTTCGCCGCTTCAGCAGCAGAGGCTTTTTCGCAGAATGTTAGAAAGGCGTATCCTCTATTCTTCCCAGTCATCGGATCCATCATCAAACGCAAATCCCAGATTTTGCCACATGTTTCGAACAAAGGCACAATGGAATCCTCGAACAATTCGTGGGGTATATGACCCACGTAAACCTAAAGAAAATTGAATAAAAACATTACAGAACCAAAGGTCTACTATCAAACGAACCTCGTGCCCTTGCCCAGCAGGTCCAGTGGGGGGACCGTCCCAACCCGGGCAGGGGCCACCATATTTTCGTTGTCCAACGGTGATTTCAAGTGTATACCCAGTCCTTTTCAAAATCTCCGCCATTTTCTCCGGATCGGGTCCGGTAATAAGCTTTCCGGCCATAACTGACTGTGGCCCTTGGTTACGAATACGGTCGCGAAAGTTGCGCATAAGTGACATCAGATATTGTGCTTTGTTTTGTACTCCAAAGAGCCTGGATTCCTGAACAATCGACCAATGAAGCTGTTTGCCATATATAAACAAGAAAATTACTGAAACCTTGAGTTGTTCCACCACGTAACGAGCTTGATCTTCCGGAAATGAGTTCATCATTTCAACTGCTCGTTCGTCGACATCTTCAGCAGCCATGTAGCCGGAATCAAAGAGTTTCATCATCGCTTCAGCAACTGACTGTTTCATCTGCTGGGAGATCAACTTCTTGTATGTCTCGTTTTCTGCGTAATCCTAGGGAAGTATTTACTTCACAATGGCTAATCGCTTCAAGAAAAAAAGTGTAAAGCAAAAAAAATCATTTTGTATAAATACAATAGAGGCAGCCAATGTAGACTGAAAGCACAAAAACAAGTGTGTTTACTTCCACAATTACTAAGTACACCAACAAGCGAACACTAAAGGAAAAAGATAGCCATTGATTTATCTCGTATATGAGACACAAAAGTTTTCAACCTCACGACCTCCTTCACACTCTTTTCACTAACTCACTGATTTCGCTGAAATTACAGTTACTTTTCTTCTGACCTTACTTTGCACACCTCTTAAACATCCACGCAAATACTGAATACTTGGAAGTTTAAAAAATTTCTTGGCAGTGACAAATAAGACGAGCGGAATTTGAAATGTGCTACTTCCGGAAAATTCGGGAAGCACGGAAACCTTACCGACTCAGTTTTCGTCTCAACCTTTTCCACGGTTCCATTTGCATTTTCCTCCACAACCTCTTCCTTGGAATCGGCTTTCATTTGCTCCATTTCGACATCCGCCATCACAAAAACTGCAAAACGTTCAATTCAGATGCACTAAATGCTTGACAACATACAGAAATTGTCGCTAAGCGTAAATGTATGAAAACAGGAGAAGGACCAGGTCCATATATCTACATAATACCAAGCCCCATTAGTTCATGGCGTGCACGGATCCAATGGAATCAATTCAAAAGAAAAAAGGAACCACAAGATAATGCAAATGAACTCCGGATAGTACTCGCCAGTACTGGAAGATCTATGTTACGGAGGGACGCGACCGCACGCGAGTGAAGGAGTCCTGAAAATCGATACTCCCTGAGCGTTCGTGGTAGGACCCTCGAGTGCGGTGGCGTCTCAGAACAAGCGTCCTACAAGCGGACGATGGGGCAAACTGGAGTTTGAAGGGTGGGTTTCTACTGTTTGGCGGTGTAACTTCTCCTCTGAAAAAGTTCCAATGTGTCCTGAGAGATGTACTGATAATATTTCGATCCCTGGATCGCTTCCTGAAATCCCAATATTTTGCATTTGTCAAGAAAGAAGTTGACGTTATAGGCTTTTTCTCTACACGCGTACAACGATGAGCTTTACAATGATCCTCTCGTCGTAGCCTTAATGTTGTGGGTTTTGTGAGCGACTTACAGTATACAGTTATGGATCAAACTATAAATCAAAAGAACGGAGGAGATCTTCAAGAAACGTGACCCCGATTTGGACTAGAGCTTTTGACCCACTAAGTTAATTTCTCCTTCATTTTCTAGCATTTTCTGCTGTCGTGTCTCGATAGTTCTCCATGCAACCACACGTCTGTTTCATTGTTGACATTTTCAGTGAGACATCTCGTTCGCGCCAGGTCGTTGAAGCGTTCGGCGTGGCGTTGTCTTTACAATATCGATTTTTATTGATCCGGCATTGATCTACACCTTAGAGATACGTAAATGCAGTCGTCTCCTTTCGTGCCATTGCAGAAGCGATCGAATCATATTTGATGTCATACCGACCATTGCACACTGTGATCTATCGATCCACTTAGTCGTCGTTTTCCTCCACCGCTCTGCTAAACACCAATGAAGTTTTTCTCTTCTTTAAGTTCTTAGTTGGAAAACAGAGTAGGGCACTCTATAGAGCATATCTGAGTTTGTCTTACCTTATTATAAGCAAACAAGAGTGTAAGGATAACGTTCCGGGGTGGTTTTGCCTTCATCAGAGATCCACGACTATTCGTATTGATGAGAGATTTCCAGGTTCTGAGATGCAGTAAATTATCTTTTCTTAAGCTTCTAAAGCCTTTAAGCTTGTATCTCGATTGGAACGATCGGTCAGGCTGGATTCCATCCAACAGCGCACCAATGTATATCCGAATGCTTCGTCGAATCTTTTGGTTCCTGCAATCGCTTGGTGAATCGAGGATATTTACTTCTTAACTTACTTAACTTCGAAACTTATTTAGCGTTTTACCGCTAAGAAAATCCTGTAGCTATCGAAAAATGACTGGCCGTTATCAGCACTGCCATTAGTGCTTTGTGATAAGTGATATTTGTATTCCCTTGGTAAGAATTCCTAGTAGTTTGCGGTAAGCTTTTGAAACAGTGGAACATATAGCTGTTTCCGACCTCAAAAGTTTCGTCACCGAATAAGAATGTCTTTTACAAAACTGTTTTACTTCCTGTAGTGCAAGTCTTCCCAACGGTTTACTGCCCGGCTGGATGTTCCTGGGTAGCGGACTGCGATGTACAGCAGGGGGATTCATCCTCCCGGCGGGGTCTATCTAGCTGAAAAGGAGTCTGGCGTTCCCATGGGGAAGCCCAGCTAAGAGTAAACCAATGCCAGAACCCACCACCGTCCTGGTATCAGTGGCAAATCTCCCTCTGGTCCAGAAGTGCGGTGACTGCCTGCGATGGTGACAACCTCGTGAAGACTTTGGCCTAACTGACCTGGAAACTTCAGGGAGCCACAATGGCAAAACGAGCGAAATACCGAAATGGAGACTTTGCTAGGGCCTGCACAACCAGTGAGGACGAGCCATCCGAGTACCCAAGTAAGTACCACACTAGAGATCCACTAGTAGCTTAGAAAGTCACATGTAAGCTACTCCTGTTTTCCTTAGATACTTTTAGAATATGAGCTTGAGTTAGACGTAAACGAGCTCCGTTCTACTAAGGTGCGTATCGGAATCCATCACTTAAAATTAGGTTATTGCTCCATGTGTGGCATCAAAGCCTCTTTTCCTCGATTCCAATCTGGGCTACTGATTGTGTACAATGTTATGTTTCTTAAGCGCTTTCCTCTTTTAGAAATACATCTTTGTGCTCGGGATTCTCCTTATAGGATTTGCTAATCGACGAACTGCATTACCTACCTAGTACTGTTCGATGATCCTAAGTAATTATTGCATTCGAACTGCTTCACATCTCCTTCTGGATTGTCTGGATCGGCTTATGATTGCTATTCTCGACTCATAAAGGGCCATCTGCTCCGGATACGGTCGGCCAGCGCTGTGATGCCACAGTAGTGTGGGCACGGTGCCATTCGCGTGGCGTCCAAGCATTTTTAAATTCGCGCCATTCTGCCAGTCTGCGCGCCCGCGGTTCGCGTGCTCCGTCGCCCGTCGCGGCGTCTGTGTCTCCGTGGGGACGCGCTTCCTCGCTATGTCACACCCCGTTGAGGTTCGGCCGTCGAAAAGGGCGCGAGTGCACTAGAAACAGCTTGAGCGGCGTCAGCACGACGCGTTCTCTGCTTTACATCATCCTTCTCTTCCTTTCATCTTCCTGCTTAATTTTGATGTTCATTTACTCTTTTCTGATATTAGTAATCCTACTTATATTGTTTAAAATTGTGTGGTAACCGGTTATTTTATAGAGATATCTACCGATATGAAGTGAGAAGTTCACTGTACTTTCAGCATTCGACACAATGGGTCGACCAAAGAAGGCTGCTGCTTCCTCATCACCAAAGAAGGTGAAATCACCGAAGATGAAATCGGAACGCAAGAAGAAGGATCCGAACGCACCGAAACGAGCTCAGTCGGCGTACATGCTGTGGTTGAACGAGAATCGCGCCAAAATAGCCAAGCCTGGCATGAGTGTGGTCGATGTTTCTAGAGTGAGTTAACCTTATCATTTGATTAGGTTATAGATCGTAGAAATGCCGTGACTGACGGAAGTACGTTTCCAGGCCGCTGGTGTTGAATGGGCTACCGTCAAGGACAAGTCGAAATGGGAGAAACAGGCTGCTGAAGAGAAGAAACGGTACGAGAAAGAGATGGCGGCCTACAAGGCCGGCGGATCGGCATCGTCACCAAAAAAGGCTGGAAAAGCTAAGGCGAAGTAAACGTATTTGCTGTAGTTTTTGTGTTTTCATCACTTACCTCACAATACCTCATTCTTTCATTACCGACGTTTTTCAAAGTTTGCCGCTCATATGGTGTGACTGTATGTGGTAGCAACTGACGCTGCGTTATACTTCCTTTGAGTAGGCAGGCCACATTTGCAGTTGGTCATGTGAATGTCTTTTTGAGGTGCCTACGTGGTTATATACTGATTTAATGTATTTCGTTCATAACTTTACTCTGTACGATCTCTGATCATGATACTGGGACTTTCAATAAAGTTTGGCAGTAAGCAAGAAATCTCGTTTAAAGGTAGGTGGCAGGCATTGGAATCGATTACATTTGAACTAGTTCTGGACATGGCAGTCTCCCGGAAGGTGTCCGATCATTGATTTACAATGTGGAAGATTTAGTATTTGTAGTTTATGATTTGTTATTGACACGGGACTGCGGCTACCCTTCCTAGATGGGCCAGCGTATTGACCGGGAACTGAATTGACAAAAAAGGAAAGGCGTGTCTTATACGGATCATAGTATAATCCAAAATTGACGGGTGCCTCTTCGCAGGTCTGAACTCGTAGTGAGATGGTGTTTGTCGTTTACTCGATAGCAATGGTTGATATGACACATGGAATCGGAACCTGATGTTCGACCGGTATTTGTGATGAGTACAATATACATGTAGTCCTTAAATATGTAATGTAAGAGAAGTTCGATGGGTTAAGACGAAATAGGAGAATTTAAGGCCGAAGTGTCGCTAGTTGGAGCCATTGGCGGTCTGATAAACCTTACATGGTATGCGTACCATAAGGAAGATTAGATTTTTCAAATAATCGTGAGGAATTAGGATTTCCGTTCACTTAGGCTTGTAAGTTTATATGCTGGGTAGTGTAGTTAGTGTATGTAAACCAACTAGGCGAGATATTATCCCTAGGTTCAGCAGTGGATACATTTCGAACGAACGATGAGTCTCGAATCACTTCGCAGTAGACTATTCAAGCACTAATTAGCATGAAGCTGATTTCGACAACGAATAGTTGGCGTGATTACCTTGAGGAGCGTTCCAATTTGTCACTGAAATGTTGGAAGTGTCGAGGAAGGGGAACACAAAGCGTTTGATGAAAATAGACGTGGCGCAGGTTGAGCAGTGCTAGTGATGTTAGTCATCACGAGCATGGTACTGGTTCGACTTCGCCTGGACTCACCAATCCTCTCATCCCTCTGAGATCGGAAAGTGGGTGCTACATTTGTACGGAGAAAGGTTCACTCTGCAATCTAAACGAGGACGCTCTAACCTGGATATCTTTCGACTGTGGAGCGAATCGGCTCCACCAGCGTTCTACGTCATTCACGACGAAAAGAAGGGACTCAAGTAGAATCCGAATCTATGCGCAAAAAGTCGAAAGTCCTTCATGGATGATGGATGCGAGGAAACGAATCGGATGCAAGAAGTGCTGAGATCTACAGAGGATGTGAAAGACGGGTCGTATAAAATAAGGATAAATAAAGGATAAAGTTCTCAGCGCTTATGCGCCTGAGGGATGTGTCATGCATTCGACTTCATTAAGCGCCGTTGGAGGTGATTGGATGCATATCTGGCCTTTACAATAACTCGTGGTGGCTTACCGATGTATCGAGCTAAGGTTTCTATCCTCCCAGACAAATCTGGTACAAATTTGCCGACCGCGGAGGGATGGAAGGCTTGGTGAGCCATGGGTTGGGGATCGGTTACACATGTGCTGCAGGGTGCTTCCGACCACTGCGCCACATGCGCCTTTGTACAAAACAAAACAACCTTCGCATAAAACAAAATGAATAAGAAGTACTAAGATCGCGTGCTCATGGATCGATGGGGTTCGTGGCACGTTCCCCATGGGCAGGGAGATGGGCTCAAAGACGAAATGCATTCTTGTACTTGTCCTGAGGTTCAGTGTAGATGAGTATGTTTGTGTGTAGACTGCATCCTGCATCTTGTTTAGATTAAATATTTGCAACGAAATAACTCGTATGGGAGGTAGAAGTCGTCAACAACACATTTGTTCATTTTCTATCTTGGGAGAGCCCAGGGAGCAACTCGTGATATACTCATCACCCATGCTAGTAGAGACAAGATACCGTTAGACACCTTACGGGTTGTCTGTGATAGTGAGAAAGGGCTTATTCAGGAAGTATTTGGCAGAGGAGTTGACGATATCAATGTCTTAGCTTAGTTCGCCTCTTGGTACTACTTTACCTAACCTTTCTAGCCTAACCCTGTAACGTAGTTGATCTCGAAGTTCATATGGACTACAAGTTATCCTGCGCAGGATTGGTTTAGAACTAGGTTGACTAGGCGCGAAACTCGGACCCAATTCTAACAATGAACGCGCATTTTCCAGAAGCGTTATGCCTTCTAGCACAGTAATTCTGGATGTTCTTAGTGGGCAGTATATTTCAGTGTTTTTACTTGCAACTTGACCCGCGGTTATTGGACAGATGGATGAGTGCCTTGAATTGTTAAACCGACAGTCAGTATATAAAATTTACACGAGAAAAACCAACCGAAAACTGGCTTCCATTCTTAAACATCCAAATAAAGCTCTCAGTAAGTGGCTATGTAACAAAATGGTATCGCAAGCCAAGTAGTAAAAACATTCTAGTTCACTGCCACTCCCCTCATCCTTTACACATGAAAAAAGTACTTATTAAAAACGTGTACCGAACGGCTGAAAATGTGTGTACAGGAGAAGAGGAAGGAGAGGAATCGCCAAATTGGGACGGCAATTAGCCATTTTCGATGGATATGAAGCGCCACTCGGGTTAGAGAAGAACGTAGGGTAGTTCCCTAATGTAATGTTTTAGACGTAAGTAAGATCGCTTTTAAGCTAGAAGCCACTCGGGTTAGAGGAAAACGTTGGGTAGTTTCCCAAAATAATATTTCAGGCGAAAGTAGGATCCCCTTTAAGCTGCCCTTCTTATCAAATGAAGTAAGTCACGCCATTAAAAAGTGCTTAAGGAAAAGTGGTCTTGAAAATTATGTAACGATTGTTGACATCCCACCCAATACCCTACGCCGCCAGTTAGTTCGAAACCGTCTCTATGATCGTTTGTACAGCACAGAAACCTGTACGGTCTGTCCTAACGGAAAAGACGTGGATTGCATGAGTTCAGGTAAAATATACTTGATCTCATGCGGGGAAGAATATATTGGGGAAGCGGATAGACCACTTTGTGTCCGAAAAAAAGAACATCTAGATGGAAAAACTAAAATCCGTTTAAACACCCCTCTAGGTACGCATAGGGCACAAAAGACGATGATTTTGAAGTGAATGTGCAGATCCTAGCGCAGGAGTCAAAAATATCAACGCGCAAAACTCTTGAGGCGTTTCGGATAAATTTCAAAAATCCAATGAACCGGAAATACGAATGCCTCACTGTCATACGTGACCTGGCGCCCTATTTCAAAATGATATTTTGACCTCGGGCTGTGCCTTGCACGCGACCCCTCGTGAACAACGAGTTGGCCAGTCCCACTCGTAACATTACGGTGAGTGGCCTTTCCGTTCAATATGGCGTTGAACTGCATTTGACCGTAGCATCCTAACCCACCATCTATTTAAAAGTGTGATCTTCTTTACTACTTTGGCCTTTTTTCCACCGAATAATTAAAGTATTCTGATACAAAATACGTCCAGGCTCTGAGGAAGGCGAAGTCGCCGAAACGTCAGCCATCGACCGACAACACCAACAACAACGACAACGACAACGAAGACCTATACCAACCTCGCATCAGCTAAAGAAGATCAGTTTATAGGATCATATAAATAAATATACCAACTATCCATGTCGAGGTTTATAGAAAGTCAGTTTTTCAGATAACATAAGTACTTGAGCACTTGCTTGGACGGCCCGTCCTCACTGGTCGTGCGGGCCCCAGCACATTCACCATGTTTCGGAGTTTTGATGGTTTAGCCACTGCGTTTCTCTGGAGTCTCGGGGTCCGCCTGGCCAAAGTTTGCGCCAGTTCGTCACCACCACACACAGTTAGTCGCAGGCCTTGTGGATCAGAGGAAGATGTGCCACCATGCGACTTTGATACCAGGACGGTGGTGGATCCTGGTATTGGTTTGCTGTTAGCTGAGCTTACTAATGTAAACGCCGGACTCCCTCTCAGCTTGGGAGACCCTACAGGGGAGATGAATCGTTGCTGTATTTACAGTCAGTGGTTCCAATGTCCTCCAACGGTTTACCGCCTCATCGTGGTTGGGAGGTGTTACTGGGTGTCCGGCCGCGATGTGCAGCAGCGGGTTCATTCCCCATGAAGGCTTCTCAAGCTGAGAAGGAGTCCAACGTTTCCATCAGGAAGCTTAGCTGAGAGTAAAACAATACCAGGATCTACCACTGTTCCAGTATTGTTCTAGTCGCATGGTGGCAAGTCTCTCTCTGATCCACAAGTGCGGCGATTATCTGGGGTGGTGACGACCTGGGCAAAACCTTGCCTAAACTAACCTCGAGACTCCAGAGAACCACAATTGTTAAACCAGCAGGACTCCGAAAAAATGAAAATTATGATAGGGCCCGCAAAACCAGTGACTACGGGAAGTCCAAGTATCCAAGGTGCCAAAGTCTCCAATTGCTTCAGCAATGTGTCGAGAAGTCAGCATGAAGGACTTAGATCCAGAACTGACCAAGAAGAAGCGAGCACTCTGGGAGGTTTCAATGGCACCGATAATTTGGTGAAGAGGCCAAAAATCGTGTCCGTACCCACTTTTACGACTACACAATTCCTCATGCGTTAACGTACCCATCGCAAGCATGGTCGTTAAATGTGCGGGATGAACCATCACTCCGCGTTATTGAACGCGAAGTCGATGGGACGATAGTGAGAGTATTTCGTATCCTAGCATTAGGAAGAAAATTTGAGGTCCCAATTTTAATAGAGGGTCAAATCTGAAATGTTGTCGTTAACGCTATAATATCTCAAATCAGGCCGAGACGTGGAGTACCTTAAGCACGCACAAGC